TTCTTACTTTACAGCATTTTTTCACACCTGCCTAAAACTTTTGCACAGTACTGTATATATGTATATATGGGGTAGGGGTTTAGCCATGGAGACTAGAGCAATAGTACATTAGCTATAAAACATTTGTTCTGTCCCTGCTGTCATTGGTTGGAATTGTGTGATGAGAAAGAGAGTGAGGTGAGGTAAGTGTTGCCATTAAGCATATTATGATGCCTGTCCGATACACTGTTTTTAAATTGTTTATTATTAGAAAGCTGGTGGTTGAAACCTACGTTTTCTTTCTGAGTTTTGAAAGCAGGTTTTCAGTTGCAAACAATTCATATCTTGTATGTGCATTGGGAAGAATGTTCAACCCAACTGTCAGATTAAAGTGAAGTAAGACAGTACTGAGTTTGTTTCTTCACGCTACAAAAGTGCTTAACTATTATTTATGTTGTTGGCTATAGAAACATATATACAAACACACACACATCCATAAAATCCCTTGGCCAATTTTCAGTTAATTGGATGGTAGATAATAATCAGTGTGGTCTACCATCTCATCTACTTTTGTAATCCAAGAATGAAAAACAAGACAACAGGGGACTTGTTGCATTTCTGTTGATTCTTTTGGTGGCCTTTATTCCATCAGAACACAGCAAATTCAAAACATTCCAATGAATCTTTTGAGAAAGCAGGAAAGCAATTTTTTCATCTCATGTAAAACCCTATTATTGTGCTATTCAGCATTATAATAATATCATGCTTTTATAATGCATATACAGAGAACAGTGTTTTGCATTAATTATCTTGAAAACATTTTGTTTATTGTTCTATAGGGCAGAGAAATCGTGAAAAAACTGGAGAGAGCAATTGCTGTGTGATCCTGTAGAAGCGCCACTGTATCTGCTACTTGTGATGTAGAATAGTTTTTGTCTTTCATGCTGCAGGATTAGAGGAGACCAACATTGTTTCAAAAACCCTTTCTGCCTGTCTGTGCATCCACTGAACTGAAATATTACATGAACCTGGTCACACTTTTTTTCTAGAACAATGAACACTTTTTTATTTCTACTGTTTATGTTGTTGAACAAGCTTATTAGTGCATCATATCGCCAATGAATTTTCTCTCCAAGAAAAAATTAACTGTACTCTTCAGCAGAAATCATTTTGCTACCATAAAATCATTCTTAACCGGAACTTTAACCAATCAAGAATTCTAGATGCAATTTGCACTAAAACGGTTGACAATATATAGACCTCATAAACACACGTTCTTAAGTATTTCCAACATTGAGAAATGAATCAGCACTGAAAAATAATACATAGTCTTTTTCTTAAATTCAGTCATGGCCAATTAAAGCAGGGGGGGTGGACAGGTGTGGAAGAATAACTAAGTAAATTCTACCTAAGTCACCCTTGATGGCCAAGTGGCACAAAATACTAACTAAAATTGTCT